AAAATTGGATATTCTATGGGGTTGACATGTAATGAATAAAATTGGATATTCTATGGGGTTGACATGTAATGAATAAAATTGGATATTCTATGGGGTTGACATGTAATGAATAAAATTGGATATTCTATGGGGTTGACATGTAATGAATACAATTGGATATTCTATGGGGTTGACATGTAATGAATAAAATTGGATATTCTATGGGGTTGACATGTAATGAATAAAATTGGATATTCTATGGGGTTGACATGTAATGAATAAAATTGGATATTCTATGGGGTTGACATGTAATGAATAAAATTGGATATTCTATGGGGTTGACATGTAATGAATAAAATTGGATATTCTATGGGGTTGACATGCATCAAACATTTACTATAAAGTTTACGTAGCACACTAAGAGCTGTTTTTAAATGTTTGCAAATCATTCCATTCAAAGAATACCAGACTCCTAGTTCAGTTCATATCTTGGGAAGCTAGTGACAGACAGACTTTCATGTCAAATTTTGAATACAAGATAAGCTATTTGTTTTTGTATAGATTGTTGACTACCGGTATTCACGCCAACTGTAGAGCCTGCTCTTGTCGGCTAAATAGCCTGTCCAGATTAAGTTAAGTTTATCACAATTTCCCCAGACAGCAGCAGTCATAACGTGTACACATGAACAATGAATTACTGTGAAATACTTTTCGCTGAAAAGTCTTTTTGGGCGTTTCGTATGGATTTTATTTTCACTGATTTTTAACGAGTTAAATGTAAAATATAGAAAAAAATAGAATATTTGCTAGATTTTATTTTCACTGAAGTGAAGCCTTCTTGCATTTCTCCAAGGCTTTGTTCAGGCAATAACATTTTTGGATGTACAGCAAAGTAACACCATTGGGTTTGAAAATGTTATCTGCACATATCATGCACTAATACAGTGTCCTATGATTACTGTTGAATACTTTATTTTTCGCCGAAGAGACTCTTCAATGAAAATAAAATCCAGTTAATATACTTTTTTGTTTTATATTTCCCATGCAACACATCAAAAATCAGTGAAAATAACACCCAAACAGCTTTTTAAGCAAAAATTAATTCCAGCTAAAATGAAGTATTATATAGTACACAAGGTCTCAGGAAGGACAAACATAATTGCACATGTAGCTGTGTATTAACTCCACAATTGGTCTTTATCTCATGCACTGTTTGTCATATGCACATTAGTAATAACCAGTTTTGGTTTGTGTACATGTAGGTTAGTGTAAAGCCTTTCTAAACATAGAGCTTGACCTGGTGTCAAGATTTTGAATTTTTGATGTGAATCATAGTTGGCCAAATTTGATTCAAACTACGATTCTTATTATTGTACTCAGTACCTATAAAACCAACTCTAGGATTGATTTGGTTGGGATGGCTATGCAAATGTTTGAAAAATGCATTCATTGTCATGAAATATGCATCTCTGTCAGCTTGTATCTGATTATCAAACGAGTACTTGTCCATATTGAGAGATATTGCTCTAGAACAGCATTAATTAAAACAAAATTGCTTGAGAAAAATGGTGGGCTGTAACAGTGGACAGTTCTTGAAGCACGCAGAATGAATGGCAGTAATGGAGTCTGGGCAAACTGAATATC